CCAGAAAGCCAGCAACATCCTCCGGGGTGTGCTTCCAGTTTTGATTATCCTCCGGAGAGTGATAATTCCCACTAGTTATCTAGCTGGCAGCTTTCCGCCTGTGGAAGCCTCAGCATCTCTAGAGCAGGCTCTGCTGCAGAACTTGATTATTGTTTTTCATCTGCTTGTTTGAATCCCCCTCCCCCAATAACGCCACCAGCTGTGACGCTTCCCTCCCCAGCCAGCTGAGGGGGTTGCGGCGGGGGTGAACGAAGGCCCCCGCGGGGGTCAGCGCCGAGCCAGCACCGTCCACCGCCTCTCCCCACCGCGCCCGCGGCGTTTGCCGGGGATGGGGCGAAGCACCCGGCTCCAGCCTCCCTCCCTGGGCTGGCGAAGGCGGGGGCGGCCCGGGGAGCTGCCTGCCGGCGGCGGGAAGGAGCGCACCCGGGGCCGCGGGCTGCGCGCTCGGCCGGAGGGGGCTTGAGCCGCTTCCGAAGTTTCTGGACAGGAGCGCAAGTGGCTTCCCCTTAAGAGAAGGGAAAACCCCAAAGTAGTAAGGCCAGCCGCAGCGCCGAGCTGAGAGAAACGTCGTGTTGTTCAAGCGCGAAAAGCTCTCGCGTGGGTGCGTGCCTGAGCGCCCAGCTTAGCCCCCCGAGGGCAGCTGCCTGAGCCTGGCTGTCACCTGAAGGAGGGAGGTGACTTCGTTCGTTTCCCCCGCCAGCCACGCCGAGGTGGCCATTTCTCCCGGAGGAAGTTTCAGAGAGATGGGACGCGTGACAGCGGTCACCGCCTCATCCCACGGAGCCCTCGGGGGCGGCCGGTGCGGGGCCGGGGGCCGGGCGGGACGCCCCCACACCGCCCGCGCCCCGCGCCAGTTTGGGGAAGGAGCGGAGGCTCCATATCTCCTAGGTTTCGCTCGTCACGTGAGCTGTGCTAGGAATGATCGTTTACGTCACACTGGCAGGAAAATAATTTGTAGTTTTTCTGTCGGATTTTTCCATTTTCATTGAGATCCGCCCTGGCAGATGTATACCAGCAAATACCAGTGTAGGGAGAATAATAAAGGAGAAGCTTAAGCTAACCGATTTGCCTTAATTGGGAATGCTTCGAGCTGATAAGAGTAAATTGGAAAGTCCTAGTTTCTCACCTCTTCATTTTATTTTATTTTATTTAAGCATTGACGGTACCCGAACCCGATAAACAAAGTCAATAGGAAAATTTGCATTGAATCGGATGGGAGCTACATCGAGTAATACTTTTTTTAGAACAACAACCGAGCGCCAAGATACATTTTGGTGCTATTTAAAAAGGGGGGTAGAAAACATTTTTCATACATGTTTGTATAATCCGCCATCCTCTCCCAGTAAAAATGGGCTTCCTCTCTTATTTCTGTTATTATTTACTTAGCATTAGCAGAAGAATGGCAGAAATCTGTGAAGAACGCGGAGAAGTTGATACGATCTCGAGTTCCGCAAACTCCGAAATTAGCAGTTGCCAGAACACACTAAAAGCAAGCGGCAGCTTTACGGGGATTTAGCTTTGTCACAGAGATATAGTTATGAAACGTGCTCATTGGTATGCATGCCTCATTTTTTATTCTTTTTCTATCTTACTCTGAAAAAGAAGTCTATTTTTAACTTGGGGGGGGGGGGGGGGGGAAGAAGCCGGGGGGGGAGGGA